CTGTGTGTCTGTGCGTCTGTGTGTTCGTCTGTACCGATTTTTCATCTCGAGACCGGCAAAAGCTACAGGACTGAAACTTTGGAGACATAATCTACATGCACGTACGGGCCCCCATCCCTAAAGTGGGCGGTCCTACCCGCGTGGTATCCGCGTAAGAGCCCGCCAAAATTTTTTTAGGGTAAGTTAATAACTTGCGAACCAGGGAAGCTAGAAAGCTGAAATTTTAAGGGAATGTTCCCCGTCCAAGTATATACTAGTGAGCTCAAACCCAACCCCCTAGCAAGCGTGGCACCCCCGTACGGGCCCGCCAAAATTTTTCCCGCGCAAATTCATAACTCGCGAACCAGGAAAGCTAGAAGGCTGAAATTGTAAGGGAATGTTCCCCGTCCAAGTATATACTAACGAGCTCAAACTCATGCCCCGGGTAAGCGTGGCGCCCGCGTGCGGACCCGCCAATGTTTTTCCCGTGTAACATAACTCGGAGATCTGAGATGCTAGAAAGCTGACATTTTAAGGGTATGTTCCCCATTCAAGTAGGTGTACTAATGAGCTCAAACCGAACCCCCGGGTAAGCTGGTACCCGCGTATGGGCTCACCAAAATTTTCCCGCCTAAATTCATAACTCGGGGATCTGAGATGCTAGGAGACTGTAACATTAAGAGGGTGTTTCTCGTCCACATTAGTCTCAACGAGATCAAACCTAGCCCACGGCTATGCGTGGTACCTACGCACGGGCTCACCAAAGTTTTTCTTGGGTGAGCTCATAACTGGAGAACCTGTAAAGCTGAAAGACTGTAATTTTAGGAGAGTGTCCCCTGTCCAAATAAGTCTCAACGAGCTCAAGCCCAGACATCGGGTATACGTGGTACCCGAGGGTGGGCTCGTGAAAAATTTTTTTCAGTAAATTGCTAATTCAGGAGTCAGGAAAGCTAGAAAGCTGAAATTTTAAAGGGGTGTTTCCTGCCAGTTTTGGCGGCCGGTCTTAATTTGTTTAGCTAGAAGCATTTGCCAAAAAACCGATGCGGTAGCGACAAAAACTGCGGGGAACTATGCAAAAAACGCATCTTCGCACGGGCAGCCCGTGCGTTGCCCGTGCGTTGGCCAATTATCACGAAAACATCAGATTACAGGTAACATGCCCTCACCTGTACCTGGTAGCAGGTCGCATTTACACATTCCTGATTGGCTAGCTACCTGGATAAGATGTTGCCTGTTACCTGTATAAGAAGCTGCTCGTTACCTGTATGGACCGCCCACCCTCTCGCGCTGTAGCGCTTCCGCTCCGCCTCTCAGCTGTCGCTAGGACCAGTTCTGGTCCGCTCTGTTAGCTGCCACCTTCCTTCCCTCGACTGTCCCCCATCCTCTCCCGCCGCACCCGCAGTCTCTCATCCTTCCCCGCTGCATCCGTATCTTTTCCCCGCAATTTTATCCCCATTTTCTTCCCGCCTCCCTCTCCCCAGCCTCTATATTGCATAGTAATACAGCAATTAGTGAATACTTCATTTAATAGAAAATTAAAAAAAAAACCATGAAACAACGAACAAAGAACAAAGAAGTGCATTTTTTTAAATCATTTTTTTAAACAATCAAGCATGCATTTTGCCAATACACAAAGAAATCATTTAAGAAGCGAAATCAATATCATTTTTTCAACCATAAGTGAGAACAAATGCATTGTATAGATTTTATGGCATCTCCGTTTACTCTTGTTCATTACAGTAATGCAGTCCCTATGCTCTTTTAATTTAATTTACCCATCTACAAATTCTTTCCTTCCCCTTTCCCCGGCAAGTTTTTCTAATTCGCCTGTGTGGCGTCTTTTGTACCGTCATCACCGTAAAGGGGGAACATTTCCTCATTTCCGGGGCTATATCCTTTAGGCTGCTTATAGACTCTCGTCTTCACTTTGGGTCCTGGTCTCGTCTACAGCCGAGAGTACGTGTCTTCCCACATCTCCAATCCTTCAACCCGATTCTTCTCGTCTAGATCCTCACACCCATCGACTGACCCCGCAGGCAGGGGGGGG